TATAAAAAAATTTGTTCTCTAAAAGTTCATTTGATAGTGTCGTGTAAGCGTGTAAGCTTTGTCATAATTTTAAAATATTTTATTAGAACTGGCAAAAAAAAAAAAAAAAAATATTTATAATTTGATATTTGCGTTTTATATATGTCTCAATATATTTTACAACTTCATATTCAAATTATTAAAATTCTTTTATCATTTCTGTGTATGAATAGTTAATTTGAGGAATGAGATTTAATTTAGTTGATTTAGCAAAAATATTTATTTGATTCCGAAATAATAAATAAAAAAAATACACAACTTAAAAGTGGATTTGGAGTTGCAACCTGGTTGCAGCACAATCTACTCCAACAATGTACATACCGTTTAGCCTCGCGATAGTCGCAAACTCATGGCCGGCATTGTCCAGTCGTACATTTAAATCTGTGCAACTGAAGACTGTGTAGAGGACCTGAAACACGTTAAATATGTCGATGTTCAAAATCATCCCGTTGGCATGCTATGAGAGTTTGGAGAGTTGAGTGCCAGGAAAAGTGTCATCCTCGTCATTTTACCATTGTTCAAAATCTCAACCTTCAAAATGAGACGCTAATTAAATAAATTATAGCTTTAAAAAATTATAATTTATTTTTCATTTTTTTAGTTCGATCTATAATAAAAGCGTGTTTTTTTTTTTTTTTTTTTTAGTTTTTCACACTATCATTTATTCTTGCGTTTAGTATTTGGAGCCGGGAAAGGGGAATTAAGTAGCTGTTGGAGTTAAGTAGCTGGTCTAGCTCTTCAATGGATATTAATTAATGGGTCTGAAGGGTATCTATTCACCGTTTACGGAGCCTCGGATCAGTCCCGTATCGTTATATTTCAAAAATTCCGTCTCTGTAGATGCAAGTCAAATAGAAGTGTTTTAAGAAGAAGTATTAAGTGTCCATAGTATTATCACCTTTTAAACGTATTGCTATTATATTAATTCGTATCATCACTTCTAAACGTATTGCTTTGTAAAAACAAAAAATATTTAAAGTTGGAACATAAATTATTTTTTCCCATGCATGAGGCTTCTATTTTATTTCCATTTTCAGAAAAACTGGACAATTGTTTATATAATGGTAAGAAATATCTGACGCACGCAACCTACCCTTTTTCTAAGCCACAAGTGTGTATTCGTTTTGGGGGTTGCATCTTAATCTTTTAGTCACTAAATCTGGAATTAGTCGCCAAATCTTGAAATGTATATGGAATTAGTCGCCAAATCTGAAAATGGTATATGCAATAAGTCGCTAAATCTGGAAGTGGTATATCGAATTGTCGCCAAATCTGATTGTCGTTATTCGATGATCCTGATAAGGACATCGATTATTGATTCGATTATTGTCGATTATCGATTATCTGATTCGATTATTGTCGATGATCCTGATAAGTACAACAGAATAAAATTATGAAATTATTGTATTGTCATCGGTCCTTGAAAAGTGTGTAAAGTTTCGAATTAATCCGACCTTTTAAAGTGGGTAAAAATAGAGTTCAAAGATTCCGTTACATACAAGTGAAACTTATAAAAGTTTGTTAAAAATTAATCAAATCAGAAAGCATCGAAGTGCGGGATAAGCTGAACATCAAGCATGGAGATGGAACTATTGTAAACTAACCTTGCCATTTCAAAATTTCACGAGGGTCGTTGGTGATAGACCTTATAATTCCGAATCGCGTTTTAAGGGACGAGAGCGATACCTAAGCTGGCAGCCCATTCTCTTAACTCTCCCCCACACACTTTGTCAGAGTTGAGATGCATTCATTTGTCTAAAGAAGCGGAGAGATTTTTCTAAGTAGATCATATCACTCGCGTTGATAAACAAGATATCAATCATTGGCATGCCCAAGTAATTTTAGCGCGTATTTCACATGTTGTATTTTAAAATTATGCAACTTGAACTTTTTACTAACAGAAAGTAGTACTGTACTTAAAAAAAAATTAAAAATTATTAAATTTAAATAAGATTCGGCTCATCTAGGGCGCAAATGCGACCCAATGCCGAAAACCCAAGGTCAATGGGTTGCTTATTGGCTGAGAAAAAGGTACGACAAAATATGGAACGAAGACGAAGACGAATTTTGCGTCCTAATAGCACTTTTGTTCCACTACGTGAAAAACGCGCTAAAAAGCAAATCAAACCGAGCAAAAATCATCTCGCAACTACAAACGCATGCTTTGAACTACCTTAAATTAATGTATTTCCCTGAGAATAAGATCTTAATCTGCCAAGTTCTAATAACTCTAATATCTTAAATCTGGAAAATTACAATCTCAATGTCAATACTAAGAGGCCCAGAAGAATCCTTCTAGACTCCTATAATCCCCCCTAGTAATTAATTGTGTCATTCTCCTCGTGGCGAATGACCATTTACTATATTTTCCTTTTATTTTTAGCGCTTTTCACGTAGCGGAACAAAAGCGCTATTAGGACGCAAATTTCGTCTTCGTTCTATATTTTGTCGCACCTTTTTTTCAGCCAATAAGCAACCCATTGACCTCGGGTTTTCGGCATTAGATCACATTTGTGCCCTAGATGAGCCGAATCATATTTAAATTTTCCCATAGTTTTCTCAATTATCCAATTCTAAAATACAACATGTGAAAAACGCGCTAAAATTACTTGGACATGCCAATGATTGATATCTTGTTTATCATAGTTTCTTTCTTAATTTTAAATTATATTCTCAATCTGCAATCCGCACAGGCAAGCACTTTTTAACACGCTTTTATAAGTTTCACTTGTATGTAACATAATCTTGGAACTCGATTTTTACTCACTTTAAAAGGTCAGATTAACTCGAAATTTTGCACACTTGTCAAGGACCGATGACAATACAATAATTTCATAATTTTGCTCCATTGTCCTTATCAGGATCGCCAGGGAAAACGATAATCAGATTTGCCGAGAATTCCGTATACCACTTCCATATTTGGTGACTTATTGCATATACCATTTTTAGATTTGGCGACTTAGTGCGTATACTATTCTTAGATTTGGCAACTAATTCCATATACTTTTCCAGATTTAGTGTCTAATTCCAGATTTAGCGAATAAAGATTAAGGTTGTAACACTAAAATCGAATGCACTTGTACTTGAAATAAACAAAAAAAGCGTGTGCCTTTATGTGAGAAAGGGGAGGGTGGGTGCGTCGCAATTTCTTCCCATAATATAAAAATTTTCTGAAAATAGAAATTAAAAAAAAAGACTCGTGCACGTGAGGAAAAGATTTATGTTCTAAATGGAAAAAAAAAATTTGTTTTTATAAAGCAATACGTTTAGAATACGATATGTTACATTGTTTTTATTAACACGCTTTCTTGTATGTCTGTCCCGGTGCAATTTTGTAATTGATTTTAAACTGACTTCCCAATGAGCGAGAGATTTGAAATTTGGACCACAGCTCAGAAGTGGATGACAATGTATGAAAATGTGAAAAAAAAGACGAAGAAAAAACAATGAAAAATTGGAATTTTATTCTTTTTAGTCCGTTATAAAATTATAGTACATCAATTTTTTTTTAATAATTCAAACTTTTCCTTCTAAACACACTTTTATTAGTTTGCCCTCTATGTATAGAGACGGAATCTTTGAAATATAACGATACGGGACTCATCCGAGCCCGTATCGTTAACGAAAACAGGACCCATAAACGAAGAGAATAAGGAGCGAGACCCATTAATTAATATCCATTCAACAGCAAGACTTTTTCCGGTAGCCACATAATTTCGGCTCCAAATATCAAACTCAAGCATAAATTCAAAAATGAATAAATGATAGTTTAAAAATATAAAAAACACGCTTTTATTGTAAATCGATCTAAAAAAGGAAAAATAAATTATAGTTTAAAATATTTAAAAATCACGCTTTTACACTGAATCAAACAAAAAAGTAAAAATATAATTCTTTATAAAAAATAAAATGATTAAGGAGAAAATGAATGTCATTGGGGGTAAAAACGTGGGGTTGCTTTGTACTACAATTTTACACTAACTCAGCTTTTCGGAATAGAAGTAAGAAATTATAACAATTGATATGGAGCACCCACCCCACGCTTTAACCCCAAGACATTAATTTTCTCCTTAATCATTTTATTCTTATATAAAGAATTATATTTTTACTTTTTAGTTGTATTCAGTATAAAAGCGTGTTTTTTAGTTTTTTTAAATTATAATTTATTTTATTTTCATTTTCAGAAAAACTAGACAATTATGGTAAGTAATTGCCGACGCAAACGGTTTTGCTTTTATAGGGTTTTAACTAACCTTTTAGTCGCCAAATCTGGAAATGGGATCTGGAAATGGTATATGCAATTAGTCGCCAAATCATAAAAAAGCATATGAAATTAGTCCCCAAGTCTGGAAACGGAATAATGAATTAGTCCCCAAATCTAAAAATCGTTATTCCTGTTGTCATGATCAGGATAATGGAACAAAATTGTAAACTTATTGTATTGATCCTCGTATCCTTGACAAGTGTACGAAATTTCGAATTAATCTGACCTTTTAAAGCGGGCTAAAATCGAGTTCCAAGATTCCGTTACATACAACTGAAATTTATAAAAGCGTGTTAAATATCAAAATCTCACTCCCGACGAACCGACGATCCCCTCCACACAACTACACACGACACCACCTCACCCTGTCCGAACATTCACAGGAAATACTCTCCAAATATTTTCAAAGTTCGGTGGAACACCGGAACGAGGCTTAGAGAACCCCAACCACGCTCTACCCAATCTTGATACCAACAGTGTTGCCATCTAATCTCACTGAGAGCAATGAGTCCCTCCAGCGATCGCACACGCACTCCTTACTTCACATTTCCCCTCTCGATGCAGGTATTCGGCGCTGGGCTCCTCCTCCGGATGGATCGCCGGCGCGGTCAATCCCCGGGGATCGACTCTTTCTCCGATCCCACGGACACATCCGACGGAGCCGATTTTCAACAGATTCCTCTGCAAGCATCATGCGACCTTCAGACAGGCGAGGCTCCCACATAGAAGGGGGAGTCGCAATGTGCGTTCGAATAATCAGCAATCCGAGTGTTCTGTAATTCGCACCAAATCAATCAGCTGGCTGTGTTCTTCATCGACACGCGAGGCGAGTGATCCACTGCTCTGAGCTGTATGATACTAGCTTTTTACGTCCGCCGCACAAAATACGCTGAATCTCTTCATGAAAAAATTTCCTCCCCTCTTTAGAAGAAGGGGCAATGGGCACGTGGGCGCATCTCTTTAAGCCATGCTTGGGGAACCGGACGGCACCCCTTTACCGCCCTGTTGGAATTTAAGTCGACGTCCGGTTGCCACGGCGGGTTCCCCAGATCCGCCGCGGTCCAAGTCCAACGCGGATTTTCTTATCTCGGTCCAATGATCCCCCCCCCCTTCCTCAGGTTTACCAACAAAAACCTTATTACTACTGCACCCTCCTCCTGAACCCAGAGTCAAGGTCGTGTTCCAACGTTCCGTGCATTATTATCCAGGCACACGGCCTGCTTGGTGCACTCTAATTTTGCAAAGTGTTAGTCACTATCTCCCCGAGAGTAGGTAACTTGCATGCCTTTTGGCTTCCTTAGATGTGGTCACAGTTTCTCGGGCTCCCTCTCCGGAATCGAACACTGATTCCCGTCACCCAAGGCAACCACGGTAGGTGCATGACCTACAGTTGACAAGGCAGACACTTGAAACATACGTCACTGGGACTAGCCCGTACTATCCGCAAAGTTACCCAGCTTCGTTCAAGTTCGGGCTGCCTACAATCAAATAAAAGCGCTCGTGCCGCAAACGGTCGGAGCTCGACTGCATGTATTAGCTCTAGAATCGCCACAGTTATCCAAGCAACTTGTCACGATCCAAGTAACCGTGGCTGATTTAATGAGCCATTTGCGGTTTCGCTGATATTTCATCGGAACGTACTGAGACATGCATGGCTTAATCTTTGCGACAAGCATTTGCTAATGGCAGGATCAACCAAGTATCCGCCTACTTTCATCGATGAGCTTCTGTGCGCTCGCTTCTTCCTTAGATAAGGTAGCCGTTTCTCAGGCTCCCTCTCCGGAATCAAACCTTGATTCCAGTCACCCGTGGTGACCACGGTAGACGTATGACCTACCGTTGATAGTTCACGAACAGACACTTGATCGTGCGATCTTCAAAGTTACTCGGATTCGTTTACGTTCGGACACTGAGGGACACTGTTAGAATCTAATAAATTATAGCTTAAAAAAACATAAAAACACGCTTTTGCACTGAATCGAACTAAAAAGTAAAAAAAAAAATTCTTAATATAAGAAAAAAATGATGAACGAGAAAATTAATGTCATTGTGGTAAAAACGTGGGGCGTTCTATAAATATATCAATTGTTATAGTTTCTAACATCTATTTCGAAATCCTGAGTTTGTGTAAAAATGTAGTACAAAGCATCCACGCTCTTACCACAATGACATTAATTTTCTCGTTCATCATTTTATTCTTTTACTAAGAATTATTCTTAACACGCTTTTATAAGTTTTACTTATATGTAACGGAATGTTAGAACTCGATTTATACCCACTTAAAAAGTTCGGATTATTTCGAAATTTTACACACTTGTCAACACACAATACAATACTTGACCGATAACACAATACAATAATTTCATAATTTTGTTCCATTGTTCTTATCAGGATCGTCAGGAATAACGATAATCAGATTTGGCGACAATTCCATATACCCCATCCAGGTTTAGCAACTTATTGCATATACAATTTTCAAATTTGATGACTAATTCCCTGTACCATTTCCAGATTTGGCGACTTATTCCAGATTTAGCAACTAAAAGAATTAGGTGTAACCCTAAAGCAAATGTTTTTAAATTAAATCTAATTATATGCAAGTGTAAAATACACTTGTGGTTATTACAAATAAAACAAACAAAAAAAGTGTTCTTTATTTGAGAAAGTGAAGGAGGGGGTGCGTTAGCAACTTCTTACCATAATATAAACATTTTTCTGAAAATGAAAATAAAAAAAGGCTGGTGCATGTGGGAAAAATAATTTATCTTCAAACTGCTAAAATTTTTTCTTATAAAGCAATATGTTTAGAAGTGATTATACGAATTAGCATTATAGCAATACGTTTAAAAGGGATTAGTACGATTGACACTTAATATAGCCATGCTTTCATTAACTCGCTTTCTTGAGTGTCTATCGGGGTGGAATTTTGTAATTGATTAAACTGTATGACTTTCCTATAAGTTACAGACTTGAAATTTGGACCATAGCTCAGAAGTAGATGACAATGTATAAAAAAGTGAAAAAAGAAGAAAAACGAAAAAGAGGAATTTTATACTTTTTAGTCCGTTATAAAAACATGGTACATTAAATTTTTTTAAATTCAAACTTTTTCTACTAGCTACGTAATTCCGGCTCCAAACATCAAACTCAAGAATAAATTCAACAATGAATAAATGATAGTTTAAAAAACTAAAAAACACGCTTTTATGGTAGATCGATCTAAAAAAGGAAAAATAAATTATATTTAAAAAAAAAACTAAAAAACACGCTTTTATACTGATTCGAACTAAAAAGTAAAAAAATAATTCTTAGTATAAGAATAAAATGATGAACGAGAAAAATAATGTCATTGGGGTAAAAGCGTGGGGTGCTTTGTACTACATTTTTACACTAAGTCAGCATTTCGGAATAGGACAAGTAAGAAAATATAACATTTATATATAGTGCACCCGCGCTTTTACCCCAATGACATTAATTTTCTCGTTCATCATTTTATTCTTATATTAAGAATTATTTTTTTATTTTTAGTTCGAATCAGAAAACAGTGTGTTCTTTAGTTTTTTTAAACTATAACATATTATTGCAAGATTTTATTTAACTTGCTATGTGTACATGCATGTATGTAATTTGTTCGGGTGGAATCTTGCAACTCAATTATAAAGCTGATATCTTCTACCGATTGAGCTGATTTTTTTGTATACACGTTTATTTTGGATCATAATGCATGTTTTGACCATTTATATTCCGATATTGCAATTAGTTAGAAAGATATTTATTTAAGACCTTAAAAAGCATTATTGTTTTACCCCTGTGAGCTGTTTATTCCGCTATGCTCAAGGACGCAAAATGAAGAACTGAGAGGGGAATTTTTTAAAGTTTTTATGTTTTTAACACGCTTTTTTAAGTTTCACTTGCATGTAACAGAATCTCAGAACTCGATTTTTACCTACTTTAAAAGATCGAATTAATTGGAAATTTTGCACACTTGTCAAGGACCGATGACAAGACAATAATTTCAAAATTTGTTCCATTGTCCTTATCAGGATCGTCAGGAATAACGATAATCAGAATTGGCGATAATTCCATATACCACTTCCAGATCTGGCGACTTATTGCATATACAGTTTTCAAATTTGGCGATTTATTCCAGAAACCATTTTCAGATTTCGCGACTAATTCAATGTACCATTTCCAGATTTGGCGATTAATTCCAGATTTAGCAACTAAAAGAATTAGGTATAACCCTAAATCGAGTGTTTTTAATTTAAAGCTAATTATATGTAAGTGTAATATACACTTGGGGTTTTTAAAAATAAAACAAACAAAAAAAGTGTTCTTTATGTGAGAAAGTGGAGAGTTGGTGTGTTTTAGCAATTTCTAACCATAATCTAAACATTTTTTTTAAAATTAAAATTAAAAAAAAGGTTCGTGTAGGAAAAAGAAATAGTTTATATTCTGACTGCTAAAAAATTTTTATTTTAGAAGTGAAGAGACGAAATAACATTATAGCAATACGTTAAAAAGGGGATAATACGATTGACATTTAATATTACCATGTTTTTATTAACTCTCTTTCTTGAATGTCTCTGTCCGGGTGGAATTTTGTTTTTGATTTTAAATTGTGTGACTTTCCGATGAGTTAGAGACTTGAAATTTGGACCATTGCTCAAAGGGGATGACAATGCATGGAAATGTGAGAAAAAGAAACTAATAGGAGGAATTTTATGCTTTTTAGTCCATTATAAAAACGTGGTACATTAACATTTTTTTTAATTTGAACTTTTTCTACTTAACACACCTTTGTTTGACCTGTTCTATAGAGACGGAATCTAATATAACGTTACGGGACTCATCCGAGGCCCTGTAAACGGAGAGAATAAATACACTTCAGACCCTTTAATTAATATCCATTGAAGAGCAAGACTAATTCCAGCAGCCACGTAATCTCGGCTCCAAATATCAAACTCAAGGATAAATTCAACAATAAATAAATGATAGTTAAAAAAAATAAAAAAACACGTTTTTATTGTAGATCGAACTAAAAAAATGAAAAATATATTAGTTTTAAAAAAACTAAAAAACACGCTTTTATAGATAATCGAATTAAAAAGTAAAAATATAATTCTTAATATAAGAATAAAATGATGATCGAGAAAATTAATGTCATTGGGGTAAAAGCGTGGGTGATTTGTACTAATTTTTTACACTAACTCAGCATTTCGGAATGGAAGTTAGAAACTATAACAATTGATATATTTATAGAACACCCCACGTTCTTACCCCCAATGACATTGATTTTCTCGTTCATCATATTATTCTTAGATTGAGAATTATTTTTTAACTTTTTAGTTCGATTCAGTATAAAAGCGTATTTTTTAGTTTTTTTTAAACTGTAATTTACTTCTACCCAATTTCTGTTCCATAACTTCAAGGCAGCCAATAGCATGTTAACTCTCCGATTCTTTTCGACCAATAGCAGACGAGTCTCGTCCGCTTACTCTGAAAAAATTTCCATCACATCGGATGTCTCCGAAGCAGTCTCCGTAGCCACTCCCTCTTGCTCCTTCCAGTCCACCAATCAGGAAGCTCTCTCTCAATCCAGGCCTCTCCACTTCAAGACCCAAATACATTTCAATAAGGGATGGAGGAACGCCTCGTGTTCCATTTCCCAATGATCTCAAGCGTTCACAATAAGATCTGGTCTGGCTATAATTTTTATTGCAAAAGATACACAAATGGGTTTATTTTCAAGCGATGTCTTAATCTTTCTCCACAATAATTTGGAATTTAATCGAGATAACGAATCACATTTCTTTACAACCTTTCACATTTTGCTCAAATACAGC